AAATGTCAGTCAACATTTGTCTCACAGATACATTGTAAATTGTATTTACTTACAAGGTCATTGTATCGACCATTAAACTTAAGAAACGATGAATGTAAACGCTGATATCCTTGTTATATTAACCTGTCTGCAAATAATTTACCCAGTTTTAGAAATTGTACATACATAGAACATCCTCTTGCGTATCTAATAAACCGAGAGATATAAACTTCGGGGATGCAGGTGATGATGGCATATATTGCTGCATAAGTAAAGGAAGTTGACGATTGAAAAGTCAAAGTCATCTTTAACGTCTTTATCAAGTAAAATACAGTGTGTATCCCATATGTGAAACAGATGTGTCATACTCTGTGGTATCTCTTATCTCAGGCTCACCGGGAAATATCGTATCGACATAAAAATAAAAAAAAAAATCTAATTGACAATACCTCGTCGATGTATCTTAATGTCCAGCCGAAGGCCAAAGCAAGTGTTCTCTTATTTACGTGTAATATATTTGACAAATTCTGTTTCATATCAATACAAAATCAGACCCTCTGTAAGAGGATGTTTTGACAGATAGAGAGTGAGCATGGGTGTGTGAGGGTGCGTGTGTGTTTTATCCTATGCATAATCAATATATTGAGAATTTCCAAGTCACTATTAACGTAGAATCCACTTTGTACTTCCTAATTTTTATTCGTCGAAAAAGATTTACCTTGTATATTGATAGTTGAATTCTCGTTGTTATTGATATCCATTTCCACAACAGTATGTAAGAAGGCAAAAAAGATATTTCCAGTAAAATAATCAAAAGTAATGGATTGCACTGTGTCCTGTGTTTCGATGGTACTCTTTAATTGAAAATTCCTTTTGTCGAGAAGGTATATCTTCCTCATGATGTTATCAACAAGAATCACATCTGAATTATTGGAATGCCCTGTAAAATTTTACTCAGAAATAAATAATATCCATTAAGATATCTTTATTTTCTCTTATTATCAAAGCATATGTTAGAAGTACTCAGTACTTGAAATCCACACATTGTAAAAAGGGGGGGGAGGGTAAGAAAAATTCTTTATCTTATACATGAATAGACAGATCTATTCATCGGATTAAACCATTCAATGTTTTTTTTTTTTTTTTCTTTAATGTCCAAGGATGGATTATTTTAGCGTTATTTGGTGTAACTGAAAGCAAAAAATCTAAAATCGACAAATTTAAGAATTCATGAAACACTAGCGTTATTTACTCTGATGAGATTGCCGCTTCTCTGTTTTGTAAATTTATCAATAATATTAGTTATTAGTTTCAATAAAATAGCAGTTAAACTTTGTTCTCATTCGAGGAGATTTCCACAATGATTATGAGATTTTTGCATAAAAATTCCCTTTTTCTATTTGGTTTATGTACGTGTGTGTGAGGGTGTGTGTGTGTGAGAGAAAGGGAGGGAGGGAGGGGGGCATGTGTGAGGTGAGAAGCTGAGGATGTGTATGTGGGTGTGGGTGTATTTTTGATGGAAATATTGTTTTCGAACTTTGAAGGACGCTAAACAAAGAAAAAATGCTGCTAAAAAAATAATATTTATAAGTTACCTGGTATGTAAAATACACACTACGATTACCTGGGAGAGAATATTTCATATGTATTTCGAATTTTTACCTTTTGGGGAGATTTTGTAAATGTACTTTAGATTACATAAATTTAATTTAAAAAAGTAAAATTGAAGAATATAAAATAATTAGGGATGTCCCACGAATGGACCGACTACCGAATAATGAAACGACATTCGAATATTAAATAAATGCAAGAAAAAGAGGTGATAAAGGAATTCTTATCTCAAAAGTGAAAAAAAAACCGAATCATTCCTCAAACCATTATAGTATAATTATGTCCTCAGACAAATAAGAGATCATTTGCCTTCGCAGTACTTGTATATTATTTTCCACATTGTACTTTTGAAAAGTACAGTTAGTAATTAAATACCGCGATAATTATTTCTCAATTAATGATCTTTTTGTTATTGTAGTAAATTATGCAGCTCCAAAAGTGATTTTGAAATTTATTAATTGGACTTGTACCAATAACAAACTCTCTTTTACCTCTATGAATGTTCAAATGCTAGGACTTAAATTATAGCAGGGGTAATTATAAACTGAACTAGCAGTATTTGACATTATTATACCTCATTATAAATATTCTACACGACGCGTTATCTGATTGGTTCTATGTTATCACGTGATCGGGCCGTAAAACTTCATATTTCCCGTCGTCGGCACGCTTTTCATCATATTCCACCTCTTCGGAACACCTAGTGAATTTTCCCGCAATATAGTTCTCGTTCGTTGAACGAAAACTCCCGAGAGTAGTAGACGTCACAATAGCCTGGTTTACGTCACAAAACTGATGACAATGTGTTGACCAAAGGGTTTTAGAATTTGAGAGCGGTGCCGAATTTGAAAGTTTATGTTTATTTCAAAGGTTTTGCTTGTTTCGGTATAATAAACAATTTATTGCATGAATGTTCGGGAGACATGAAGACTTATTCAGCCAAGAAATATCATATTCCCCTCGGGCGAAGCCCTCGGGGAATATGATTTTTCTTGGCTGAATAAGTCTTCATATTTCCCTCACTATCACGCAATAAATGTACAGTAAAATTTGTATAATCCGGACTCTGAGTACTCCGGACTTTTGTCCATTCCGTCCGTAAATTTTAGTCCCATGCACTTCTTTAACAAATTCATTTTTAAAAATTCTGTGTAGTCCGGATACTGTCTATTCTGTATTCCAAACGGCCATACTGGTCCCAACTGATCATAATTAACGGTAATTATTCACTCTAATCCGGCCACACCTGAGTTACTTCAAAGCAATTAACACCTTTCGTGGGGAATGTCATAATCTGTGTTTACATTAGCATGATTATTAGTGCCCTGAGACGAACTCGGTGAAATGCGGCGATGACACAGTCCACTTGAAAAATATATTATATGATTAAATTACAATAAAAAAAAAATAACTCCTTTTACCACATTATAACATAAACACAAAGATATATGTACGCGCGATTTAATACAAATCAAAATATAAATCGGGATCGAAAATCGAACGCATTTCAAAATGGCGCCATAACACTGTTGAGGAAGACGTAATTTTTTACATAAATTTAAAAGTTCAATCTAATAATTAGCACATCGTAAATAATTGTGCATTACTGTTAATACATTGAATGGGGTTTTTGACAAGTGAAACCCGGTCCGCTTGATACATAGTAGGCCTATATTATGCATGCCTGTATATTTTGATTGAGGTAACATTTCACCCGACTTTCAAACTTCGTGAACAAATAAGAAAATACAGTAAGTCATGTGAGACTATCTTATAATTTCTACACTCCAAAATAGTAATTTATTTCATCATTTGATTTTATTTATAATATGTATATGATGTACTTGTAAATAAACAACGAAAATTTTCGAAATTTATATTTTCCTGCATTTTTCCTGCACTCCGGATTCTGTCTAATCCGGCCAAATTTTATGGAACCGGCGGTAGCCGGATTGGACAAATTATACTGTATAATATTACCCGACGTGTGAATAGTGTGTGTTTACCCCTCTCCTTATCTTTTTCATTTTAATAAGCTTTAAAATAATCGTGCTGGCAATTCTGTAAGCTTACTGGAATGAAACTAATTGTAAATACCAAATAATGTGACGAGAATTTTAGGGAATCACTGATATACATCTATTTTAATTCATTATCTTATCATTTATCTCTGAGATTTGGTGTGCAATACAGACATTTGATGTTACTTTTTACATAAATTTACAAAAATGGTCTTGAGTTATAAATACGCTATTGATGAAATTATTTATTAAAAAAATGTTCCGTATAGTCGACTATCGTTCGAATACTGCAAGCGAATGTTCGACTAAGGAAAATGATTATTTTGACATCCCTAAAAAAATCATATAATATAGATTTAAATATGTATAAACACAGTGCTGAGAGTCATTTTCAATGATTTTGTACGTTTTTTAGCTAAAATATCACATTATTTTGCTAAATTAAATTCCCTCTTGTTCACAGCAATGTTAAAATGAATTATAATTAACACATCTAGATTTTCACCATTAAAAAAAAAAGTAAGAATATGTTGCATTCCCTTTTTTTGTTTTCGCTGTTTTAATAAACCTTAAAGGTTTTTAAGTAATATATCTAAACCAACCCAAAAACCCTCTCCGTCTTCTGAAAACTACTGATACTGTAAACAAACTTTTATTCGCGACCACTTTATTTCGCGATTTACCGGGCGTAAACTTGTTTGCGACGATTAATTTTTGCGATCAAGCCTTTTTTATCTGTACGTAATAGACAAAGAGACCCTGAGAACTGAAAATTTATCATATTTATATCAAATTTTTAACGTAAGTTAAACTTTTAGGATTGCTACCTCCTAATGACAGATTTTTATCCCAATAAAAACGTATTCTAAGCTTTCAAGTCGTGTTTGTTCAAATCACGGTAAAATTGTCTGATACCTGATTGGTCAGATGGACTAGTGCCTTGTTTATTCTGTGTATTTATAGCAATTCACGGTTATCGTTCTTGACTTCCTTATTTGGAAATCGTGCAGACCTGTTCAAATATAAACATATCTCCCCTTTATGGTATTTGCGTAATAAAGCGATATGATTAATAGAAAATGTTTTGACAAGCTTAAGCACAGTACAGAAAGCAAAGATGGGAAACTGATATGTGCAGAACGCATTGTTATTGCTTTCGACAATCTCAACGTCACATGACTTATTAAATTTATAACTTGCAAACATTAATGTATTAATGTATTTAAGCATGGGGAGGGGAAGAAAATAATTTGATTTTCTTTGGGGGGTCTTTTATTTTTCGTTTATTAAAATTATACATCATGACAGTTTGGTTATTTTTCATTCGCACATAGAACTATGTGTTTAGCTACATACTATAAGCTATTTGTTCTCTCCAGAGAAACATTTTTACGAGTCTGAATCCTACAATTATAGTGAATCGAAAACTGTCCTAGCATATCCAAATATCTATATATAAATCATCTTGTCTCTGCTTACATTTGTGTTTCAAAATCAAAGATATTGGTGATTCTTGGTTTGATTACAGAACGTATTTTAAATTCCTCAAATTATCGGTATTTATTACATAATCATACATTGTTACTTACTTTCTTCACAAGAAACACGATCTTCGGTAAGTGTAAATCCAGGGTCACAGCTGCAAGTTTTATTGTAACGAAGGCAGAACTGCCCACATCTCCCATTATTTGTACCACAGAAATCTGAAATTTAAAAAAAAGCTAAAAATAACGAACATTAATTGATAGAAAAAACTATAAGCAATAAAAATATGTATGTTTAGACGACTTAATACATGAATCTCTTTAAATTCCATACGTGGAAGAAAGTGCCTCGGAAGAGTAAGCATCTCCTGTCTATTGGTCATGCCCGCTGTGAACGTTTTTTTTTCAGTACTTTGATTCCCAAAAAGAAATTTTATCATAGTAAATAAAATCACTACGTCTTTTCTCTATGTTGCTATACGAAATAAGAAAGAGGGTGATAGTTTATTTCTTGATATAAGGATTGGGTCATTTTATGCATATAGTGAACCTAGCTCTTTGATATACATATAATAAATGTTAAATTCAAGAATTTATCTCATGTTGAACATTCTTTCCCTTGAATTCAGTGCAAAACGATTTATTAAATATATATGTTTTGGAAAATGTTTCTTACCATCCTCTTTAATTTTTAATGCCTCGTCGAAAATATATATAGATGAAGCATTACCAGTGATGTTGAAGCAAGAAGTTTTTTCAGATGAAAAAAATTGAAAATAACACATTTCCGTTTTATTGTCATCAAGTTCTTTTATCCATATTCCTAGATTCTGTAACATACGTTAATGTAAGTGACAAAATGGACAGTAATATATTATCGGAATTAATTCTGCCAATCAGTAATTCATTAAACTTTTTCATTTTGATTTATTTACATTCAATCTTTAAAACTTAATCGATATGACTTTTAACATTATCAAAATATAAAAACGAGGACTTACCTCATAAAAAGATATTTCTCTAATGTTACCATATTTCACAATATTTACATTGACGATTGCACCATCTAATTCAGAACTCATAATGCCACCATACGCTGTCCAAAACAACCTAGTAAATCCGATTGAAAATTTTATAACAATCAATGCAAGTTATCGAGTGTATTAGACAGCTTATAATTTTGAGATACCTTGAAATAGTATTTACAGATTTTTTCTTAGCTGTGCATTACAGTACCTAAATAATATTTAGATAATAAATTCTTTGAAATACAACATTAATTGAAAAACTCTCTTTGGTCATGGAAAAAGTGTGGGATCTACTGAGTGAGCGAGAAAGCAAAATGAAGACAATAAACCACAAACAGACATTAGGTGTTTTGTCTTATTGAAAAGTTAATTAATTTTTAATAGCACAAAGCTACATGTAATAGCATAATTATGAACTATCATGAAGTCTTTTACAATTACATCACTATTCGCTAAGAGTTACTCACTGACAGATGACCTGAATTATAGTACTCAAATAGCAAAAATGTTAATTCTATCCCTTATGACTTAGTTTTGTTAATAAAATACTTTTTTTTCGATTACCTTTATCGACAGAAACTTTTCGTACCTGTTTTGAATTCTTACGCCAGATTCTTTTATGTGAAAGATAGATGGTTTTAAATATAGATTGATAGATTGATTGATTGATTGTATACTGTTTAACGTCCCTCTCCAGAATATTTCACTGATATGGAGACGTCACCATTGCCGATGAAGGACTACAAATTTAGGCCTATGCTCGGCACTAATGGCCTTTGAGCAGGGAGGGATCTTTATCGTGCCACAACTGCTGTGACACGGGGCCTCGGTTTATCCGGTCTCATCCGAAAGACCGCCCCATTTAGTCGCCTTTTACGACAAGCAAGTGGATACTGAGGAGCTATTATAACCCGGATCCCCACGGGGATCTAAATATAGACACATAATAGACACATAATGGATGCGCTAATCCGTATACGTTGTACGTGGGGTTTTGTTTGGTGGTTTCTCTCCCTACCTTGCTTGCTAACAACGATGCTACAAGCTTGTAACACTAAAGCCTTCTGATTTAAGGTTTATAAATTAATCTATGATGTCAGATTGGGAAAAAATTACGCGCCTAATTATAAATGCACAAGTTATGCTGGTTAGCATTTTCTATCTTTTGAAACCAAATTGTTGAATAAATTCTGAATTAAAACCGTAAAGCTATGTAAGATTTTTCTGCTTCTGTGTGTGAAAGGGTGTGGGTGGTGTGTCACAGATCAGAATGTGTAAGAGAAAGAGAGAGAGAAGTTCATAATGTATGAGAAATAAATTAAGCGCCAATCCCTCTTTTGCAATCGAGTTAATATTTAAATCTTTGTATTTTGCGATTGCACGACTTCTTTCTTATCTGTCTTTATTTGGGTGGGGACTGGGTGGTAAAATTAATTTTACTTCGACATAATCAAATTGTTTTTAAAGTATTTTCTCAAACTAATGGAATATAAAGGCAAGGTTTAAAATTTGTGTATGAATGAATCAATGAATCAGTGCTTTGTTTATGCTGTTGTGTTACCTTTTCTGCTTTGGGAATACAGATAATCTATTTATGTTGAGGGCTGCTATCAATCTTCGTATGTCAGAACCATCGGTATTACATCTCCATATATAGTAGTTTTTCAAAGTTACCCAAAACAGAAAGCTGAAAAAATGTATATTTTTAAAGAAAGAAAGAGAGGGAGAATGACTGCAGGTAAGAAAATGACGAAGTTTGAAACCATACCTCTTCTCAGAGTCTACTGTAAGATCCTGTACATCATCATCGATACCAACCACTGTACTTATTTCTGTTTCTTTTATCCTTTTAATTGTGTATCCATCACCATAAAATAACGACGAGTCGTTCTTATTTACGCTTAGACCTGTGAAAAAGAAAAATATAAAATACATTAATCCAAAACAAAGAAAATATACGTCAATATATTACCCATTATCTAATTTTTTTAATTTAGACCTCCTTGCATAATTTAACTGTTTTTCCCATGGCACTTTTAAAAAAAAAATGTTAGAGTCATTATTTTCATCTTTGTAGAGAGTGAAATGAAATAAGAAATATACGAAATAAAAAAATCAATTAGGCTTACAAGATGTGCACACTCTTCATAAAAATATTTCTTTAAGCTTTGAAAGTATTCAAGCAAAGTTGTTAAATTGATATTTAATTTGCCATCTTTGAAAAGAATAATCTAACATATATTTCTTAATAAGCAAGACTGTTACCGGTATTTTACTGACGCTGTAAATACGAGGGGTATTTGAAAAATAATGAATATTTATTCGCTGTATTTTATTCAACAAAATTATCACAGATTCAGCTCAACACAGTCCTTCAAAATATTCTCCTTTAACTTCTACACATTTTTTTTCAGTCTTTGAATCCATTTCTGAAAAGCCGATTTATAGGCTGATTTAGAGATACCCTTTAGACACTGGTAAAGCGCACTGCCTACAGCCTGGCGGCTTTCAAATCTTCGTCCTCTTAAGGCATCTTTGATCAGTGGATTCAGCCAAAAGTCACAAGGGGATAGGTCAGGGCTGTATGGATATTCGGTAACAATCGAGGCTTTGTGGGCTGGTGCATTATCATGTAGTAAATTTATCTCACGGGTTCCAGTGCGAGCGCGGGTCTCTTTATAATGTGACACAACTTTGATTAACACTTTTTCTTTGTAGAATTTATCAGTGACACTGGTAGACTCTGGGATATGAATTTGTACGACGGGACCCTTCGAATTAAAGAAAATAGCGTACATAACTTTCCGCACTGTGCGGCTACGCCGTGCAATTTGTGGTCTGTCCTTGACGTCAGTCACCCAAACTTTATTATTTCGTTTTATTTCTGGTTCGAAAAAGAAAATCAACGTTTCGTCACCAGTGACAATTTCGTTTAAAGGCCTGAAATCGCAATGTTCATATTTTTCTAATAACTGCTGACAAATTTCTACCCGTACCCTCTTCTGCTAATCTGTCAGAATATGGGGGATCCATCGAGTACAAACTTTTTTCAACATTAGTCTGTGTTTTAATATTTCAAATACTGCAGACGAATTGATCCCATTGAAAGATGAAATATCATTAACGGTGTATCTTGCATTGGTTTCAATGATCTGTTTCAGACTGTCATTTTCATTTTTGTGATATCAGATGCAGTTCTTCCACTACGTGGGTCATCTTCAAGCGTCTGGTGACCATCTTGAACTCGACGTACCCATCTTAGAACAGTTGGATAGGAGAGAGAAGAAGGTCCATAAACTTTGTTCAAATCAGCTTTAATATCTGTCGGATTATAACAGAGAAGCGCCCTTGCTTTACAGCATGCCCTTTGCTCTAAACGTTTAGGAACTTCGCTTGCCATTGTTTCGTGCTATAGTGTCGCAGACGTCGTTTACGTCACATGTCAAGATCTCGGGGTTCGCGTTATTTAGAAAGTTTAATTTATATACATTTTGTAGAAAATTTATTACATTTTAATTTTCTTCAATCAATTTTCCTGACAAACTCTGTACAACATTTTTTTATTATCTAATATTCATAAATTTCCAAATGCGCCTCGTATAATAAAATAAAATATAAAATAGTATAATATAATACAATATAACATAATATAATATAAATATTATATAATATGATTAACATATCTTTCAGTTCATTCCATAGGAAAGAGCGTGCTCTACGTATGAAAAATTTCTTAAAAGAGGTAAAATATTGACAAACAAGTTAATGAAACAAGAATATCAGCAGTCTCGTTTAAAATCATTGATTTCGTTCGTTCTATGGTCGATACAATGGCCTTCAATGATAAATACAATTTATCATTGAGTCAAATGCTGACTGACGTTTTTTATACTAATCGTTAGTCCATTATTTATACATTGAATTGACAACGGATTTTCCCGTCATTTCTAATCCCAATCATGACAGGGAACACTCGACGGGTGTGACTGGTCGGCAGGGGATGCTAACTCCTCCATTGCACCTGATCCCTTCTCTAACGGTTTGGAGGTCCGTCTCTGCTCTGCTCCTATTTTGTATTGTTTCATGGATTTTAGATGACCTTAAATATGTTCGGTATCTCCATAAAAAATAAAGTATTTCCATCCTCGTATGATGTCATAGGTTCTTGCAAAAATTCTTAATTTAAATTTATTCTAAATAGAACAATATCTTTTGGAAGAATGCTTTTCAATAGGTGTGGGGATAAATATTGTAAAGTAAAAGAATTTCAAACGATGTATAATTAGGTTAAAAACTATGCTAGACCAAATAATAATTATGTGCCATTAGAAGTTATTTCTAGTCTTATTTTTAAAACTCAGGACCAGACTAATAAGAGCATGGTTTTTAATGTTTCACATCCAACAAGGTAATTTTTTATTGCACGGCAACAAAGTTTATTTCTAAAACGTGCAATGCAATTTAAGGTGGAATGCATCAATAGAGTAGACATTTTTTTTTACCTTTTATTGTATAGTTACTTCTTGTTAATGCAAAACTTCCATCATATCCTAGATTATGCCGACTGAGAATCCAATCATTTTCTTTAGTTGATATGTAGTACATAGTCTTTGTGCGAACATCGATCTCAAGCTCTGTCACGTTTCTGGCAATATTTAGGCAGTAAAAAGTTAAGTCGTTTTCTTCACGCTTTACCAATTCTGCTATATCTGTCACACATATCTGCTGTTCAACTACAGCAAACAAACCACTGTATGTGTATTTCTGTGGTGCTGAAATGTTTAATCGATATGTAAAGAAATGATTATGAGCATTGATAGATTATGTAACATATGCCCTGTTATATTCCAATATTTACATCAATGAGTCTTAATGAGCCAAAACGGTTCACTCTTTCTATTAAATCTACATAAATTTACAAAACACACAGGCACACCCTCTCCTTCAAATACACACATCCTCACATACACACGATTACTAACCCTCACACACACAATCCTGCAGATTACAGAATGCAGATTCCGTAGGTCGAGAGTTCAACCCCGGGCTGGAGCAGAAATGGGTATTCTTATAAAAGTTAATTACTTTGTGCTTTCTATCATATTTCTATTATATTTCTATTAATATTTCTTCACTTAGAGTAGTTATATCAGTTTAAGAGTTGTTGCATGTAAATTGTGCTTTATAAATAAAATTAAATTTCATTGCAATATTGTCTCTTTTATTACATTTTTACCCGTGAAATACTGTAATTTATTCATTGAAAAAAAATGATATCCTGTCACAGTGTGAAAGGATATCAAAATGATATCCTGTCACAGTGTGAAAAAATATCAGAAGTGCGGAAAAACTCTCGATTTTCCTTCACTTCTCCAGGAGTGTTGTAAAAAATACTTCTTAACATGTTTTAAGATAGAAAACGGGTTAATAAACCATGCTGTCATTAAAAAAAACATTGAGAGTTCCCTAAATATGTGGCTAAAATTCATGGTTACAATGTTTTTCACTTAGCTATGACATCTTATCCGCTCAACTATGACGTCATCTGTAGCCTATGACTGCATTACAAAAAAGTAGGCAAAGGGAAAAATCAAAGAAAATGTAATAAACAGAAAATTCAGTGTTTTGTAGATGAGTATGGAATTTATTTCACTCGTGAGACAGGATTTTTTGATATTTTCACTCGTGCTTCGCACTCGTGAAAATATAAAAAAAAAAAATCCTGTCCCACTCGTGAAATAAATTCCATTTTCAACTGCAAAACATTGGATATCCTTATATGTTGCACATGGTATTATATACGGTACTATCCGACGCAAAGTCCCTAAGTACAGAGTGCGCTTATATAACATTTTGATGTCAAACAAAAGTTTGACTTTTCTTTATTTTACATGTACTCGTATAGTGCAGATGAAAAGAGATGCCAATAACGCAAAATCAAAAACTACTTACGAACACAGTCTCTGTTATTGAGTTGTAATGTATGCCAGTCGTAACAGATACATTTTATCTGACCAAGGCTTAATGAGCACATTTCACTGCACTGTTGTTTACTGCACATATCTGAAGAAAACATATTGTAGGTTTATTGAGTTTTTATTGGAAATGTTTGCACATTTTTGTTTGTTCATGTTCAGCCAATGAGTGTCGAATTATTTCAAATGAATGACTCGATCGTGATCCATGACTCAATATGAATAAGAACTTTTTCACTATAAATAGGACTCAAGTGAGATTTTCTGATTACATTTTGTCTGTAGACGGTCTGCATGTCCGTTTGTCCGTCCGTCTGTAAACTAGATAAGTAAGAAATAGTGAAACTGTGGTGGCATATTCAAAAATCATCTTCTTAAATACTACTTCATCAAAAAAGATGAAACATATATGCATCTTCAGATCATGAACTCCAACCCCCCAACACCCCCCCCCCCATGGTATGGTGGGGGCACAATGGACAATCAAAGTTTTACATAGGAATATACAAAAAAAAACTTTATAAATTGTCTTCTCAAGAACAACAAAGCCACTGTTGGTCATAGTTATATGGAAACATTCTCAGGTAGTGAGGATTTACGGTTGTTCAAATCATGACCCCGTGGGTAGGGTGGGGCCACAGTGGACGATCAAAGTGTAACAAAGGAATATATAGGAACATATTGAAAAGTCTTCTTCTTAAGAATAACCCAGCAATGATTAGTCATTTTTTATGGAAGTTCACTAAATGATACCCCGCCTCCCATATGAATATAATGACAGAGTCCATGTTTTGCCATAGGAAACCCAAAACCTGTGTTGGATCAAAAAGTAAAATAGAAGGTGCACAATGGCATTATGTAATAAAGATTTTCAAAAAGTCAAATTCCATGCAGTGGTATGAAAGGAGTTGCGAATAAGAGATAGGTACCCCAAAGAGTAGCAGAAATACGGACGGACGGACATCAAGATTATTATTTACCCTCCCGCTTTTCAAGCGGGGGTTATATTTATGGAAATTTGCATATTGTTTATTGCTGACTTTTTTGAACCCGAGAAAAAAGGATACATGGGAAAGGAAAAATTTTTTAAAAGAAAAAATGTCCCCCCTCTCATTTGAACCATGCATATATCGACGTTACAATCACATATAATGCAAACACAACGACCTGACGATATTTTTAAATGATTCATAAACTAGATTAGTTAGTTTCGGTAATTAATGTATGCATCAAAATATTTCCATATATTTTTCTTACCTGCAACGTGTAGAGATAAACCAAACAGCTGCCATATGTCCGGATTAATCCAAAGAAGTTATCTCATTACATGGAGAAAAAAATATCTTTTAACATGCAGTTATCTTTTTTATTTAAAAAATGGTACCTTTAGTTGTAAATGTCTTTTTAGATGCTATGGTCTGTACAGATTCGTTCAGATTTAGAGAGATTTGCCATGAGGTTGACTCGCTTAGAAGGAAAACTCGATCATCATCGAAAACTAGTGTCAAGTTTTCCTGAAAAATCAAATAGCAAAATTTCCAAAATTTAAAAAAAATTACGAGAAAAACTGGTTCTATATATATTTATGTATATTAACTTCGCTATGCCCGTAACGATTTCCTTGAAGTACTCCTGAATACTAATGATATTGTGATTTAAATTCAAGACACGTGGTTAAGGTTTACCTATTCGAAGGTTATAGGGTAGAACCGGTTTTACAAATAAAATTGGCTGTAAACAGGAACATTGCTATAGTCTGTTTCTTTTGAAAACATATCCTGTGAAAAATGTGTTCCAGATCTTTCTGAAAGACTTTTATGTTTATCAACAGAAATGGGTGGCTAAAAAGGGGGGGGAACAATAAATATATATTACCATCTCACTGCAAAAGTTACAGCTCACTAGCGACTGATACGCTGGTAAAAAAAAATGTGTAATATCATTTACACTGAGAAACCTTTGTTTTCCTTATATGGCTATTGCTATTAATGCGCAAAGAGGATCTTACGTACAAAGCAACTGACCAATTGTTGATTGGATACGTTCACGCCAAATACATGTTTACATGTTACTTCGAACACATCGTTCAGGTTAATCTATGATCATGTCAATGGAGTGCAAATAAAAAAAAAAGTTCTTATGAATAAAATACAAACATTCGAAACTATGAAAGATATCACGGGCTTTTGATTTATTGTAAACTAGTAAAAATACATTTAATAAAATGTATACGTTTTCAGTGTCAAATTCAGAACACCAGCACTTCAAGGGTAAGGAAAACGAGCAACTTATGCATTTAAGGGTCCTCCACACACCCACAGCTTTTATTCTAATATTATTGAGCATTACTTTTAACAAACATATCAACCTTTAAAAACTGTCCTGGGATTAAAATGATATTTATACTGATTTTTTAAAATAATTATTTCACAACTTATAAGAAATTTTTCCCAAGGCGTTTTCATACCTAGCACAACAAACTTTGTCTTACCCGTTCGTATATTTTTAAGCTAACAGAATAATCATAAAAACTTACTTTTATCGATCAACATATTTTTTACAGAAATTTATTTTATCTATAAAAAGTACTTAAAACTCATTTTCTCTAAAATACATCTCGAGAAAAATCAATAAGGACTCCTTTTGTGGAGAAGAAACATTAATGAATTAGATTACATCAAAAAATTGAGTAAGAAAAAACATTTTCGAAATCTTTGGTATCAAAGTTCCTTTTTGGAGTTATCTTTCCTGTTGCGCAGGACTCAAAAACTTTGGCAAGTCTCCGCATACGTCACCAAACTATATTTAGTAGTTACTGGCCATTGAACTGGACAAATATAAAAGAGGAAAACTAGAAACGCACACTATTTTATCAATATTTATAAACACACAACGAGATAATGTATTATTGAAACGCACAAATTAGTGTGCCGAAATTTCAAGTATCAAAACAGACTCGGTTGATTAGCCTCAAAGTATAAATAACCCAGTAAACGTTTCTCGTCATACCCAACGGTACCTGTTGTTTGCGAATTATTATGTAACATAATCCAAGACGCCTGTTGTTCTTTAATTAAAAAAAATCTCGCATCCTTTTCCATCGGTCACTCCGTGGTCATGCCATGCAATCGGCAATCCTCGGCTGACTCCGCTACGCTCCATTTAAACGTTATGTGCGAGGTACGAGTCATCCGAGGAACTCCGAGTGCATGCCATGTGTTCATTGTTTACAAACGGTGCTAGGCCAAATCGTTCATGCAGAAACTTGATCAAACCGGAAGTAAAAGTATTTTTTCTCTCTATACGTCACAAGTCACATAGTGTGGAAGACCCTTAAATGGACAAAACAAGTTTACATAACTATACTCGTGATCACGTGTGTTGGCCAGGGAATCCACCTGACAATTATGTTCGCCGATAATAAAGGAATTTATCAACCGTAAAATTCCTGTAGTATTCGTAGTAACCCATCATGCAATTCTCATTCAGCAGAATTGTCAGTTTAAGGGGGATGTACAAGCCATATTGGATCAAGTCTGGTGTAAAATAAGATATACCAAGAATGCGCTCAATACTCTACTAAACTAACTCAAAGTTATTCAAAGTGCTTATGCACCCATTACCTACTGTTAGAGACCAAAATTATAAACAATTAAGTTTATTTTGTTTTAATTAGGAGAAAATTAATCATGTTAGAACTGCGCAGCTACAGCATTCACGAGATGAAATATACATTAAAAATGATGTCAGTTCGAATCAATGATAATATAGCTACAACCATTTGTTTCGCTTTTTTCTTGTCATTATCCATAATTCTTGAAAATTTGATTTTTCATATTGGGGTCTTCCTGAGGCCATGTGTTTATTTCGTCCGCCATTCCTCTGTAATACAGAATTCAAATAGGCCATAATAAAAATATTCCTAGATTCTCATCCCCGCCCGCCCCGATGTTATACCCCCGCCTCGATTTTTTTTAATTTCTGTTTTTTTCTTCGTTCTTTTTCTGATCGGGATCGGTATTCAACTACCATTCTACATGTACTTTCGTTTTAAATTCCGCGAAAGTCGACATGATTTTGACAGCTGAAAAGATGGTAATTGCTGTAATACATGCGTATATATTTTAAACAAGGGTCATTGGTTGAAAAAGATTGGTGATGATATGAAGTAAGAGATAATTGAACCTTTACTATGACTTTTATTCGGGTATTGTAGATAAAATTACACAATAAAAAATCTGCAAAATTGAAAAAATGAAAAAAAGGTGATTTGATATCTACAAGTAGTCCATAAATTGATAATTTTTCATTAAGATACCGCTTTTTGTATATGTAGGATTTGAGAATTAGAAATATCTGGTACAAATTCCTACAACTTGAATCAAGATATCATCCCAAAATAAAACAAGAGGCCCATGGGCCTTATAGGTCACCTGAGCATTATGCAACAACTTTCCAGTTACAGTGTTTTGAATTTGATTCATGTTTAAATCCAGATGCTTTATGGCATTCACAATTTTGAAAGAGGCACCATTGATCATCATAATACTGAATACCCATACGCAGGGTAGGGGAACAAAAATGCACTCCAACTAATCAGTAATATTCAGCAATAATCAGTAGTGCCCCTAACACTGTGACATAAACCCCTGACCCTAGGTCCACACTTTGCGTGAATTTTTAAAGGCACCCTTAAAATTGCCTATCAAAAAATAAATAAATGTTTTATAAATACAAAGGAGCATATTTCAAACAATTAATTCATTTTCAGTATATAAGTAGAGCCCCCCCCCTGACCCCGGGGCCTTGAAATGTACAATTCTGCAAGATTAGGGTCCTTGCTCATCATAACTATATAGGTAGTTCATCTGCTTCATACCCAGAGACAGAGAAGAAAATGTTCAAAGAATACATGTATTTTCATTATATAATCAATAGAGCCCCCCTAACACCAGAATCCTTGATCCTAGGGCCATAAAATTCACAATTTTGGTAGAGGCACTCTTGCTCATCATAACTATGTACTTAGTTAGTTTATTTAATTCCTAGGAGCAGAGAAGAAGATTTTCAAAGAATTCATGTATTTTCATTGTATAATCAATAGAGCCCCCCCCCTCCCAAACATCAGAACCCTTGACGATTGGGCCATAAAATTCACAATTTTGGTAGAGGCACTCTTGCTCTTCATAACTATGTACTTAGTTAGTTTATTAAATTCTTAGGAGCAGAGAAGAAGATTTTCAAAGAATTCATGTATTTTCACTATATATATATATATATATATATATATATATATATATATATATATTTAAAAAGCACTAAAAAACCAACAACACTGTATATCCTAAATGTCGGATCTACCAAGTAGATACAAGGTCAGGGATGGAAATTTATATAAAGCACTAAAAATGACCAACGACACGAACAATAAAAATTGTCAAATTTTCTTTCTAAGTAGTATAAACGGCCCCGCCGGGCGGTTCAACTGAGTGCACTTTTTATGCAAATAAGGTCAAAACTTCTGGATTCTGATTGGTGGAGGGGATAAGTGGGTCAACTGAGTGCAGTTCTAACCCTAACCCCCTAACCCTAACCCTAACTAACCCTAACCCCCTAGCCCTAACCCTAACCCTAACCCTAACCCTAACCCCTAACCCTAACCCTAACCCTCACCCCTAACCCTAACCCTTACCCTAACCCCCTAGCCCTAACCCTAACCCTATCCCCTTAACCCTAACTAACTCTAACCCTAACTAACCCTAACCCTAACCCCTTATCCCCTAACCCTAACTAACCCTAACCCCTAACCCCTAACTAACCCTAACCCCCAACTAACCCTAACCCCTAGCCCTAACCTATCCTATCCCCTTAAATACGGGGCGCTTACACTGTGTTTACATTGGTACGTTGGTACTACGTTTTGATTATGGACACAGGTAAATGCGCCGTGTGCAAAACATTACAAGAATGTGATTATGACGTCACGCTTCACAGTCTAGCTTCATTTTTTGAAAACCTCATTACCAAGAAACAAAAGTGAAACTAACCCTATTTTCTCTTAACCCTATCCCCTAACCCTAACTATCCCTAATTTCCCCTTAGGCCTCTATCCCTAACCCCTTTTAACCCTAACCTATCCTATCCCTTAAATACAGGGGGCCCCCTTACACTGTGTTTACATTATACACTATACGTTGGTACTACGTTTTGTTTATGCTAACTATACAGGTAAATACTTTGGGGCCGTGTGCAAAACATTTCAAGAATGTCATTATGACGTCACACTTTTTCATTCACAGTCTAGACAGCCTAGCCTAACCTGTTCAAACTGGGTTTTTTTTTTACTGAAAACAATAACATATAACACACATGGTTTATATACCTTTACTGTAAGGGCCCTGTGCATCAATACGTTTTACCTGCGTTTTTATACCTGTTTGCATCCTCTATAAAGTGCCCTGTGCAAAAACATTAGGGTCGTGTGCAAAAGAAATATACCTTTTTACCTG